ACATGCAGCGACGGTTCTTTGGCTGGGCAATCCTCGGAGCAACAGCCGCCACCTGTGCCTGCGGCCCGCCCCGAGTGGAGCCGCCCTCGCACGAGGGGATCGACAACTTCGGCTCCAGCGACCCCGACGCCAGCATCAGCGGCAACACCAGCTATTCCGGCGCTACCAGCGAAGTGGTACAACCCAGTGGGGAAGTGCGGCTGCTGCGGATCTCTGGGGAAGACCAAACGCGGGTGCAGCTGCTTCGGGGGCAAGAGCCACCAGTGCCTCAAGACCCCACAGCAGGGAGCACCCGGGACACCAGCAGCGGCATCAGCAGCGGCAGCCAGCAGCGCCCCACCGAGTCCAGCGGGGGCTCAGCCAGTGACGAGACCTCCGAAGTCCGCGTGCTCCTGCTGCGGGACCCTCGGGAAGACGATTCGGGGGTGCAGCTGCCGCGGAGGCAAGAGCCACACGTGTACGAAGGCGACGGAGGTGACCATCCGGGAGCAGGCAGTGGCTCTACGCTGGCGGCGCCTGTCCAACAAGCTGAACTCCCCGGAGGTGCAGGGAGGCTGGAAGTTCACTCCGGAGATGCTCGACGACTCGGAACTGCCGGAGATGGACTCGAAGAGGAAACGCCGAAGCATCTCGACGACCAGGATCTCAAGATGTTCTACGAGAGCCACGACAAGGTCCTGGACGAGATCTACCAGACCATCGCCGAGGACCTGACGGAGCTCGGCAGGCCCTACCGCATCGACCTGATGGAGGTGTGCTGTCCGGAGGACTCGAGCCTCAGCAAGGCCGTGCAGGACCAGGGAGGCAAAGTGTTCAGGTGCGGCCTCTTCAATGGGATCGACATGGGAACGGCAACCGGGCTTCGACGCGCGCTTCACCTTCTCCGACGACTCCGACCGCGCCGCTTGGTTCTCAGCCCGCCATGTACAGCAGACTGCCCGATACAGAATCTCAACCAGAAGACAGCTCAGCAGAAGGCCACGTATCTGGCGAAGGTGCGCAAGGCCCGACGGATCCAGCGGAACTGCAAGAGCCTCTGGGAAGACTCGAAGAAGATTCACGACTGCCACACCGAGCTCGAACAGCCAGCTTCCAGCCGAAGCTGGACCAGGTCGCCCTCGATTAAGGCGATGCGCGACCAGATGCACGAGACGATCATCCATGGCTGTGCGCATGGACTCCGCGAAGCTCGTTCCGGCCTGCTGATGAGGAAGGCATGGCGCATATGCTCGACAGACCCAGAGTTCGGCGCTAAGCTCGGCAGGACGTGCTCCAACCGCCCTGGCAGGGGCGACAACCACGCACACCGCCCCATCGAGGACGGACAGGTGGTGGCCCAGACGGCCTTTTACCCACCAGCACTGTGTAAGGCCTGGGCAAAGCATATCCTGAAGACGAACACCAGCGCGAGGTACGGCAAGGAGATCTTCACCAGCTTGGAACAGATCCCAGAGGACGCTGAAGAGGAGATGGAGGAGGCCCTCGACGAGGACCTCTTGCAGGATAACCCCGAGGCCATGGACGACGAGTCGGTCATGAAGGGCCTGGGCATCTCCGAGACACCGACCAAGAAGGAGGAGCTGGAGATAGAGCAACGGCTGACGCGGCTCCACCGCAACCTCGGCCACCCGAGCAACAAGACGCCGTGCAAGATCCTCAAGGCATCGGGAGCACCTCTCCAGGTCCTACGAGCAGCTCTTCGCCTTCAGTGTCACGCATGCCATGCGGGACAACTACCAAAAGCCGTCAGGGTCGCCTCGGGCATCGAGTTGCCAGGCGTCCTAGAGGTGCTGGCCTCCGACGGGCTCGAGTGGCTCTCGCCGAAGCAGGACTCTTTCCTGATGACGTTGAACATCGACGAGGGATCCGGGCTCACCAGTGTCACCTATCATGGACAGAAGGGAGAGCGCAATGGCAACAGATCGACTCAGGAGGTGATTTCAACATGGAATGACTGGTGCGGACATTACCGCCGCCCCAGCCTTCTCCGTCTGGACCCCGAAGGTTGTCATCGTTCACAAGCAGTGGCCAGGTGGTGTTCGGACCGCGGCATCGAGCTGTGGATTGCCCCGGGCGAGGCCCACTGGCTGATGGGCAAGGTCGAGAGGCGCATCCAGCTTTTCAAGCGACTGGTGACGAAGCTGGCAACGCTGGACCCCGACTGCCCGGTCGAGGAGTTGGTGTCCTGGGCCGTGAGCGCGATCAACAGCATGGACAAGGTCGGCAACCACTCCCCGTTCGAGCACGTGATGGGCGTCTCTGGGATGCCGGCCTCGAGCAACCCGTTCGCCATCATTGACGGGGACGCCGGGGAGACTCAGGAGCAGAGGCGCCTCCTCGCGCGCAAAAGCTTCCTGGAAGTAGAGTGTGCTGAGCGTCGTCGACACGCCGAACAGGCCCGCAACCGGGTCTATCAGACCTGGAATCCGGGGGACCTCGTCTACTTCTGGCGCAAAGGGAAAGGCCTTGACCCTCGCCCTGGGAAGAAGGGCGGATGGCACGGCCCTGCTCGTGTCCTTGCTCAGGAAAAACGACACGTGGACGGGCGCACCCGTCCTGCCTCGGTCATCTGGATCTCCCACGGGAGCGTGCTCATCAGGTGCGCCCCGGAGCAGCTGCGCGTCGCCTCGGAGGCAGAGAAGATGATCGTCGAATTGCAGCGGCAGAGCAACCTTGGCAAGACCATGACGGAGATCTTGGAGACAGCCAAGGGCGGTACCTATGAAGACCTTCTCGGACAAAATCCTCCGGACCTCCGAGAATACGAGCCTCCACCGCAGCCGACGATGGCGATCCCCGCGACCGAGGGCCAGACTCTCGAGAACAACAGCGAGGCGGGACTCCCCTCAGGCGCCGACAACGACACACCCGGCGCCCCTGATTCCTCCAGGCCACCAACACCAAGCTCAGCGACGCAACCTGAAGTGGAACCGAGTGAACCAGATGTCCGACGGTCCCGGTCACCACCGGCTCGTGCAGCTGACCGGTCAGCAGCCCCATCACGAACGCCAGGGAAAGCATCTACCTCAGCGGCAGTCAGGACGGAGTCTCGAACAGCATCGCGTCCGCCTCCCGCGACCTCGACCTCATCGGCGGCCGGTGCCGCATCCCGAGGCGAGTCGAGACCTCGATGGCGCATGACACACCGCGGACCAGAGCTCGATCTGCACGCACCGCCGGAGAAGCGACAGAAAGGCGCAGACGAGGAGATGGCCGACGCGCTGTTCGACAGCAACCACCTGGTCGACCTCTTCAAGGACAAGCTGGACATCACCCTCGGCATCGACGAACAGCAGACCGTCTACTTCGAGTACTTGCAGGACGAGAATACCACTCCAGACGGACGCCGAGGTTTGATGAGCCACATCCTGGACAGCTTCGTCGTCAACCAGCGCCGGAAGGACAAGGTGGAGCTGACCTGGTCCAAGATGAACGCCACCGAGCGTGAGGAGTTCGAGGCAGCCATCGCCAAGGAGACGAACAACTGGGTCCAGCATCAGGGACTCCGCGCTGTCCCGATATCTCGGGTCAAGGACGCGGCGGACGTCATCCGGGCAAGGTGGCTGTTCACCCGCAAGTCCGATGGGAAGGCGAAGGCCCGGCTCGTCCTCCTCGGCTACCAGACGAAGGACCTAGGACAGGAGCCGACAGCCAGCCCCACCGCGTCTCGGCGCGCCCGTCACGTGATGCTAACAGTGGCCGCCGCGAACCGCTGGAAGCTCATCAAGGGCGACGTCACCTCCGCCTTTCTGCAGGCCCACGACCTCGACAAGGACCTCTTCATCGAGCCAGACGCCGTCCTCAGAAAGGCCTTCCACGTGCAGGAAGGGGAAATCCTCCAGGTCGTGAAACCTGGATATGGGATCGGCGAGGCGCCCCGGCACTGGTGGGAGACGGTCAAGCACGACTTTGCGAAACTTCGACTCCAAGCCTGCGAGTTGGAGCCCTGCCTCTGGAAAGCACGATGTTCCAGGACGGGTATGCTCATCGGTATGATCATGGCCCACGTCGACGACTTCATCATGGCAGGAGATACCTCCCACCCTGAGTGGCAGGACATGGTCAAGCAGATCCGAGGGCTCTACAAGTGGGGCACCTGGGAGGACATGAATGACGGGCTCACCTCTCTCGAACAGTGCGGCGTCACCATCGAGGAGAGCGAGCAGGGCTTCTTCCTCCACCAGAAGTCGTACATCGACAAGATCAAGGAGGTCAAGGCGGCCAGCGGCAGTAAGCATCGGACCACCGACAGCCTCAAGGACTCTGACAAGACGGTGCTCAGGGCGTTCTGCGGCGAGATCTACTGGCTTGGCGTGAATACCATGCCATTTCTCTTATCGTGGGTAGCCGACCTCCAGATGAAGATACCAGCAGGTACTCACAACCTCTTCACGGCCGCTAACAACATCGTCAAGCTCGTCAAGCAGAGCCGCCACATGGGGATCAGGATCTACCGGCACGCCCTGGACGACCTCGCCATCTTCACCTGGTGCGACGCAGCCTGGGCCAGCCGCCCGGATGGACACTCCCAGGGTGGTCATATCACCGCTATCTCCTCCAAGGCGGCCATGGACGGGAAGCTCTCCGAGTTCACGGTCCTCGACTGGGGCTCCAAGAAGCTGCGCCGCGTGGCTCGGTCAAGCCTGGCGGCGGAGGTGCAGGAAGCCGGCGACGCCGAAGGCGAACAGAGCATGGTGCGACTGGTACTTGCCGAACTTCTACACAATATGTCTCCACTGCAAGATACCGCAGCAGCACTACGACGATTACCAGCCATCCTGGTGACGGACTGCAAGGCCTTCTACGACGGCGTGGTGCGATCTCAGTCGGCGGGACTGGGACTGGAAGAGCGGAGGACAGCCATCGAGGCATTGGCGCTCCGCAATGCCTTGGACGAGGGTCAAACGGTCGTGCGCTGGGTTCACTCACACGCACAGATCGCCGACGGCCTAACCAAGGCAAGCTGGCAGGCATTCGGAGTGGTCCGGGCCTTCCTCGAGAAGCAGCAGTGGCGCCTCATCTACGACGAGCAGTTCATGAGCGCTCGCAAGCGGGCAGCTCTTGGCAAGGGCATCTTCGACGAGACGGACCCGACCGACCCGGCCTCAGCTCGTCAGGTACTCGAGGAGCGTAGGTTGGCCCGCCAGGCACAACCACCAGCCAGCATGGAAGGGAACCTTTCCAGCTCGACGACCTCTACGGGGTTCTCGGCCTCCGAATCCCTGATCATGATCCAGAAGTTGCAGCAGGATATCGAGGCCCATCAAAAGTTCGTCCAGCAGCACACACGGAGCGCAGAGATTGCCTGCGCGCACGGTACAGGGCAGAACCTTTTTCCCCCTGTCTGAAAGATACGCAGGAGTAAGCTTGAGCAGCAGCTGTCTCCTGCCCGTCTGCCCTGTCCGTTCCACCGCCACCCTCGGCTCAAGGCGAGGAAGGGCGGGACTCTTTCTGACAGAGCCTGGCTGTGCCAGGCAGACCGCGCACACGACAGCGCGGCCGTTCATATCGTGGACAAAAGGTGTCCACTGACAATTATCACGATAATTGACATCGACACATACTTTCTCTTGCTCTTCCTCATCGTCACCAGCGTGAACGATCTTGAGGACGAGCTCTAGTAATCAGAGGGGGGGATGCCCAGAGGAGCCCAGAGCGGCCTCCGGCACCGTTTCCGGACGGATCCGCTGGATCCGCTGGATCCGGTGACGAATCCCAAACCGGCGCCCTCGCCTGAGACATCCTCACAAAACGGGCCCCGGGGGGGATGCCCAGAGGAGCCCAGAGCGGCCTCCGGCACCGTTTCCGGACGGATCCGCTGGATCCGCTGGATCCGCTGGATCCGGTGACGAATCCCAAACCGGCGCCCTCGCCTGAGACATCCTCACAAAACGGGCCCCGGGGGGGATGCCCAGAGGAGCCCAGAGCGGCCTCCGGCACCGTTTCCGGACGGATCCGCTGGATCCGCTGGATCCGGTGACGAATCCCAAACCGGCGCCCTCGCCTGAGACATCCTCACAAAACGGGCCCCGGGGGGGATGCCCAGAGGAGCCCAGAGCGGCCTCCGGCACCGTTTCCGGACGGATCCGCTGGATCCGCTGGATCCGGTGACGAATCCCAAACCGGCGCCCTCGCCTGAGACATCCTCACAAAACGGGCCCCGGGGGGGATGCCCAGAGGAGCCCAGAGCGGCCTCCGGCACCGTTTCCGGACGGATCCGCTGGATCCGCTGGATCCGGTGACGAATCCCAAACCGGCGCCCTCGCCTGAGACATCCTCACAAAACGGGCCCCGGGGGGGATGCCCAGAGGAGCCCAGAGCGGCCTCCGGCACCGTTTCCGGACGGATCCGCTGGATCCGCTGGATCCGGTGACGAATCCCAAACCGGCGCCCTCGCCTGAGACATCCTCACAAAACGGGCCCCGGGGGGGATGCCCAGAGGAGCCCAGAGCGGCCTCCGGCACCGTTTCCGGACGGATCCGCTGGATCCGCTGGATCCGCTGGATCCGGTGACGAATCCCAAACCGGCGCCCTCGCCTGAGACATCCTCACAAAACGGGCCCCGGGGGGGATGCCCAGAGGAGCCCAGAGCGGCCTCCGGCACCGTTTCCGGACTGGATCCGCTGGATCCGCTGGATCCGGTGACGAATCCCAAACCGGCGCCCTCGCCTGAGACATCCTCACAAAACGGGCCCCGGGGGGGATGCCCAGAGGAGCCCAGAGCGGCCTCCGGCACCGTTTCCGGACGGATCCGCTGGATCCGCTGGATCCGGTGACGAATCCCAAACCGGCGCCCTCGCCTGAGACATCCTCACAAAACGGGCCCCGGGGGGGATGCCCAGAGGAGCCCAGAGCGGCCTCCGGCACCGTTTCCGGACGGACGACCTGACTGCATAACACGCCTGGATATGCCGACGGGGGCGAAGGAGGAGGAGGAGGAGGAGGAGGAGGAGGAGGAGGAGGAGGAGGAGGAGGATGGTGGGTGGGCGCAGCTTCAAAGGAAGCCCTGACCGCCGTGAGAACTCACGACGGCCAGGGCCGCCAGAAGTCGGGAGGCGAGGCGGTTGACCTATACGCCGCCAAGTGCGCGCGGGCGCGGCCGCACCGGCGGCGGCAGAGCCGCGTCCGCCCGCTCCGGCTTCCCAGCGAAGGCCGCGCCGAGGAAGTCCCTGTGGGGCCGTACCCTGAGGCCGACACCCCCGCCCAGCCTCCCCCCGCGGAGGACTGGGCCCGTGGCCGTACCCAGAGGCCGTCACCACACGGAGCCGTACCCAGAGGCCGACACTCCTGCGCAAAACCACTCCCCCCGCAGGGGCGGCATACGCCTCGAAGTGGAAACTGCGCTGGGGCCGTACCCTGAGGCCGACACCCCCAGTGCAGCCTCAGGGAGAGGACTGCACCGCGCTGGCGCGGAAGAGGTACTCGCCGTCCACGTAGAAGACCTCCGCGAAACGGCCCGAGGCCATGTAGTCGGCCACGAGCTCGAGGTCGACCCCGAGGCGTTCGTGCTTGCGGACACGTCGCCCACGTGCACCCCGTCCCCGCCGCCAGAGGCCGAAAACATCTCGGTGAGGAAGTCCTCGACGTCGAAATCCGAAACGGTGTCGGCCTCAACAGCAGGCTCCCCGCCTCGAACGACGCTCTCGTCGAGGGGCTCCGCAACCTCCTCCACGGTGGGGGCCACGGACTTACCACACCCCTCAGGCCCGCGGGAGCCGGCCTCCTCCGGTGCGGTCTCCTCCGGGGCGAGGCTCGCAGCCTTCACCTCCTTCACGGGGGAGAAGTCCCGGGGCCGCGGCGGGGCCCTCGGCCACGGCGTGCACGGCGCGGGTTCACCTACCGCGGCAGCGTCGTCGCCCACGGCACAGCTCGCCAACGAGTACCCGTGGTCATCCGTCGGCACCGCGTCCGTGGCCATCTGGTCGGGCGAAGCAAACGGCCCGCAGCGCATCGCCCCACCGCGTGACCAGCAGTGGGCAGGGCCCATCGAACAGGGCGCGAAGACCACGGCACCGCACGAGCAGCGGCTGCCTCGCACCTCGTCCTCCATCCCCTCCTCCGACGCATGCATCGGCACCTCCGCGGCAGGCACGAAAGGCGGGGCCGCCACCCGCAGCACCGTGTGCGGGGCCTCCGCGCCAGGCACGAAGGGAGGGGCTGCCTCCCGCAGCCCTGTGTAGGCCGATCCTCCGCGCGGCCGCGGGGTGGCCAGGGGCGGGGGCGTCGGGGAGGACGTCGACGGGGGCGAGGATCTCTGCCGCGTTCCCCATGGCATCCTCGTCCAAGGGCGCGGCCGCTCCCAAGCGGGGCCCCGCGGCAGCCCACTGGAGCTCCTCGTCCGTGGCCTGCGAGAAGCCGAGGGGCGGGACGCGGGCCGCGTGCCACGCGGCGTTGCGGCGGCGCCGCGAACGCCCTGGCACAGGCGCGCCGAGGGCCGCCAGCTGCAGTGCTGGGCGCGCGGCCCGCTCGCGGTCACGCTGGCGGCGCAGCACCCAGGTCGGCCCGGGCACGCCGTAAGCCAGCCTCGCAGGCCAGCTGCGCCCGGCGGCGGGCCGCCCGCCGAGCCGTCGTCGCGCCGAGCTGCACATTCTCCAGCGCGCGAACGGGCCGCCACCAGGCAGGGCGGCCCCCCGAAGCCATCATGCGATCCGAGCCGAGAGCCCCGCTCCCCCCTCCCTCACGCCCGCCGCGTTGCCCCGACAAGACGACGGGTTGGGGTCGCAGGGAACGCCGAGGAAAAGTCCAGGAGCGGGGGGCCTACGGAAAGGCATGAGCCAAAATGGCTACGGAGGAGGAGGAGGAGGAGGAGGAGGAGGAGGAGGAGGAGGAGGAGGAGGGGGAGGGGGCAGGCGAGGGAGCCCCGGCCCTGGGGGAGGGGCCCTGAGGGAGCCCTGATGGGCTTCCGGCACCATGGAGAGGTCCTGTGGGGCGGCCGCCCCTTCTTCTCTCGGTCGTTTCCCTCTCGCCCAGAAGCGCGCGCCCCTTCTTCTATATATACAGAAACTCCCGATCAACCGCAGAGCGGCGGATGTTACTAAGTCCCTGCATTTTGAATACATGATCCGCACGCGGAGTATGTATTAAAAACGGCACTGTATGGAGCTGCTCCGATTGGGCGTAGCCTCCAACCGATGACGGCCCAGTGCGGGGGACGACGGGCGCCCCAAGGCAAACCACGAAGATCCCAGCGGGTCATCGAGGCGCCCCCACCTCCTCCTCCTCCTCCTCCTCCTCCTCCTCCTCCTCCTTCTCCTCCTCCTCCTCCTCCTCCTCCTCCTCCTCCTCTCCGTAGCCATTTTGGCTCAAGCCACGTCAGCCAGCTTGGGCCGGCAGATGGCGCGGGAGCCCCTCCGTGGGGCAGCTGGGGCCTGGGCTGCCGCGGACCGCCTCGTCCAGCGGCTGGTGAAGGAGCTGTCGGAGGCCCGGCTGGAGATCGAGCGCCTCAAGAGCCTGCAGGAGCCAGCTGGCGATGCCGCCCCGGGCTCTTGGCGCGACCGAGAGCTGGCGGCGCGGCCGGCCTTGCAGGCCGCGGTTGCAGGCGCGCGTGTGTGCGGACGTCGCAGGCGCCGCCGCAACGCCGCGTGGCACGCGCGCCGCGTGCCAGTCGGCGGCTTTGCGACGGCCTCCGACGCGGCCATCGCGGAGGTGGCAGCAGGGCCGCGCCTCGGAGCCTTCGGCGGGCAGGCCGAGCGCGTGCCCGTGGAGTGCGTCGTCGAGATCTGCCAGGCGGAGGCCGCTGTGGTCTTTCCGCGTGTCGAATGCGAAGTCTGCTTGGTGGAGCCTGCGGTGAAGCGGCTTGGTGGAGGCGTCCGCGCGCCGCACGCCGCTGCGCTCCGCGGCGAGGCCTTACATCCCGAGGCTGCCCAGCGTGCGGGGTCGACGGAGCCGACAGCCCAGCGGCGACGAGATCGCCGAGGCGGTCCTCGAGGGGCTGGGCCGCGGGCCCCTGGCGCCGGGGGACAGGGCTGAGCCTGGCCCTCCCCGTGAAGGGGGTTGGAAGGCAGGCGTGGTGCCGTGTCGTGTGGGCCCCCAGGTGGACGGTGCTGCAGGCGCGGGTGCGACGCCGCCGCGGCTGGAGCATCTGGGAGGCGAGGAGGACAGCGCCAGCGTCGTGCAAGGTCACTTCGATGATCTGAGCAGCGTCGAGGAGAGCTTCGACGGGCAGGAGCAGCGCATCGGCATCGGGGAGGTGCTGGCCAAGGCTGTAGGCCATGCTGGAGCGGAGCGTGGCGTTCTATAAGGTCGGCGTGGGCAGAGCCTGGGGTTAAACCCAGGCTCTGCCTACGCTCAGGAAGGGATCCTAAGGGGTCCCCGCGCATGAATTTATTGCATGACCTTTTAGGTCTAGTCTAGCCTCCTCCTCCTCCTCCTCCTCCTCCTCCTCCTCCTCCTCCTCCTCCTCCCAGGTAGTCCCTGCATGTGGCGGGAGGCTGGGCCAGTAAAAATCACCGAATGCTTTGACACAGCCTGCTTGACCTGTGGTTTTGTGCCAGTTGTGGATTCGATGGTCGTAATGAAATCAAGAACCTGGGACACAAATGTCTCGGAGCTGCGAATGCGAATCGACGCGAGCATTTCAATCGGAGTCATTCCGATCGATGGCCGAAAGCTCTCAGCGAGGCCGACCAGCTCGCTCGCAAGCGCTCGTAGCCCGGATGGCTCAATGGAACTTGGTGCATTTCCTAACCGACACCACTGAAGCTTCCAAGATGGCTCCGAGGGAATTCCAGAATTCCCCAAGGAAGCCCCCCGATAGACAACAACGACTGCAAGAAGCATGCGCTCTTAATGATCATGGGGTTCTCGTATTTTCGGCGGCTGACGGCCTTTAGAAGCTTTCAGGTGGCCCCAAGATCGCCCAAGACGATTCCAAGTGGGCCGAACGAATCAAAACATCCAAAAGGTAGGCGGCTACCCCCGGACATCGCACAACGATCAGGGAAGAACACCAATGACCACACACAAACACAAACACACACACACACACCTGCCCTCAGCGATCCCGCAAGCGCAGTCCCCCAAAAGCCTCCAAAACGTCAAAAGGTCTATGCCAGACCACCCAAATGTTTCCGAGATGCCTCCAGGGGCCCCAAATAAGTCCGCGAGGGACTTTCAAAAATCCTCTTGAGCGCAGCCATTGTCCCCATCACTGGCTTTTTTCAGGCGTGAAACAATGACAGAGCTCATATCCACATATCGGAGTACATGGTACATGCGTTCCCCGGCGTGGGATATGCACTCAGGAAAAGGCGGCGACTTCCATATTCAAAACTTCCATATCGCTGTTGCTCAGATCCCAGGACCACAGATCAATATCTTCCCGCATATGCTGTCGCGAAGTGCTTTGCAGAGCAAGGGTCGCGCCTCTCTGGAGTATCCATTTGAGGGCAATTTGTGCTGGTGTCCGCTGGTTCATCTCGGCAATGCGCATTACGGTAGGATCTTGCAACACACCGTGCCATCCCTGACCTAACGGCGAATATGCTTGATACGTGGCATTGAGCCGATTACAGGCTTCCAGGACTTGGTCGTCCCGTTGCTTTAGGTTCATTTGCCTCTGATTCACTGCGATCGGTACTGTTGAGATACTCATGATTTCTCGCATGTGTGCCTCGTCAAAGTTTGACACGCCCAGTGCCTGAACCCTACCAGTTTGGACTTCTTTCTCAAGCTCTCGCCATATTTCAAGGGTTCGCAGGCCTTGGGGCTCGTGGATCATCGCGACGCCCAGCTTCTCCACACCCAGCTCTGCAAGTGCAGTCGAAATCTCATTGTGGACATCCCAATCTGGAGAGCGGGCGGAATCTACTTTGTAAACAATGAACTGATCGCTGCGGATATTTGAATTCCTGAGTGTCCGCCCCAACTGGTTATTGCTCCCGTACTCTGTACTCGTATCAAACCCTACCGCTCCAAGCTCAGCCCACCACGTTGTCATGTTTACGATCATCGCGTGTATGTTTTCAACCTCTGCCATGTCGTGTCTATCGTTTGCCCGGATGAACTCTCCGCATCGCATACCACCAACTCCAAGCACTGCATCCGGCATGAACACACCAGGAACGATCTCCCGCTTTGGAATCACACTGCCTGGCCCAAGAGCGACTGCCTGCGCGGGCGTCAACACCGCCATTCCGCTAACTCCCACGATGGAAACGACAAGCAAGACAACCGTACCAACAATTGGCATCATGCTTGTTTCAGAACGCCGCAGTTGTGTTAGTGTGAAAAAAGAGTGGCGCCACGCTGGCTAGAGCCAGCAAGGCCTTGGATGATGCTTGCGGGCATGCCGATAACGACGTCGCTGATGACAGCGGGTGACATACCACCAGCAGCTACGTGACGAATCAAGTCCCCGATCCCCCATAACTACACCGTTACAGGCATCCACGTGTGCTTGCGTGCGCCCACGTGAACCACTGTTACACTTGCGCCGTTATTGTAAACTCGCGTTTGTAGATGCACCTCACTCAAAACACCTACGCATACGTGTATGGACACATCAATGTATATATATATATACACATATATTTATATTTATATATATATATGTATATCGACGGATAGATCTGGGTCCTGGCCTATCCCGCCCCCATGCCAAAGTTAGTCCGTTCTCCCCCAAGGGCCGCGCTCGGACGCTTTGCGCGATCCAGCGTCCAACCCCCCACCCCTCCCCCTTCCCCTCCGCGCTACTGGGCCATACCCCGTCCGCTCCCCCTCCCCTCACCCACCTCCCCCTCCCCTCTCCATTGTCCTACTGGTAGCCCCCCTCCCTCCTTTTGGTATGGTGTGATGTTGTCGCGTCACCCCTCTGTGCGTGTGGTTCGGGAGGGAGAGCGGTGAAGGGCTCGATGTGGCGACAGTGTCCACCCTTCCCTGCCTGTGGTGTGGGGTGTGGGCGATGACGAGATGACGGAAGGAGAAGGAAGAAAGAGCGGACAGGTGTGCCTTGATGCACTGGTGCACTGACGCGCTGACGTGTTGACGCATTGCTGTCTTGGCCATGATTGCTTCATTGGTCGTTTCATGGCATCGTGCTGCCGTGTTGAATTGACACCTTGATGCATTGATCTGTTGATGCTTTGTGCCCAGATGCTCTGATGGGTTGCTGTTCTAACACGTGTACGCATGAATGCATGGATATCTCGAACTGTTAATGCCACCGTTCCTTGACGCATCAGGGGTGCTCCAAGCTCTCCTCCGCCCTCCCACCGCCCCATTTTGTGAGGGTTGCGGAACCCTGGCACCCATCGTCCAGGCGGGGGTCAGCAGGCCCGGAGCCCGGGAGAAGCATGCCACCAAACGCCGGAAGAACACATCGATCCACAAGCTACTTATCTGTTGCCTGGGTCGCTGGCCGCGGCCCGGCGGCCTCGACGGCGGCGACGACGACCACGAACTGGGATGCTTCTGTTTGGGCATCCGCTTCCTGGTGGGGCGCTGCGACCCTCTCTGGGAACTCTTTGACAGCTCAATCGCAACAGAAGCACACGCGCGCATTGCAGCAGCATTCCTAGACTGCCAATGGCCAACGTCCTCAGCTCTCAGTGTTCATTCCTTTCAGCCCCTGTGGGGTGTTATTCCCCCTCCCCATGGTCCCATCCCAATTGCGTACCCCGCTAGGCTTCAGAGCATCAGTCTTTGGCCGAGCCGAATGCGAATGTAAACATATCGCATTAGACAAGCACGGTCTGGGGCAATGGTGGCTTCCAGGACGCCCCACACCGGTAGCGACATGTTAAGCATACAGTGATTTGTACATGCATGCACAGAAACAAGCTTCTATGGGTATACGCATGCACACATATGTATGTAGACATATATGTGAGATGTGCACCAATCTGACTGAACACATGTTGTATGCATGTGAATGTATATGTAGTTGAATGAAAATGCACACACGCACGCCCCCCCCCCCCTATATATATATATATATATATATCCGCATATCCATAAATCCAGATATATCCATGTATGTATATATATATATATATCCAAATATCCATATATGTGTGTATGCGTGTGCACTCGCAGTTTCGCAGCAGGCGATCTTGAATCCGCCGACCACCGCTTGCAGGGGGTGAAAGGTGTGTGAAACAATTTGCTGTCCCCCTCCCCCCTTCCCCCTGCCCTGGGGTGGGGGGGTGGGCACGAGCTCATCAACGCACCCCCGGAGCCTCCGGAGCCTCCATAAAGGGCAAGAAGGCCGAAACAGAGCGCCACGACAGTCAAAGAGAGCGTCGAGACGTCCCAGAGTATGCGGCGCGCGCTCGCAGCTAAGTAGCGAGGGGGGGGACGCGGGGAGTCTAACGTAGCGTCGCCCTTGTGAATCTGACTTGTCGCTGCGTTGGTGCCTGGGCCCGCTCGTGGTCGCGCCCCGTGCGCCGGGCAAGTTTCCCCGGAGCTCTCACCACGTTTGAAGGGGCCCTGGGACACACAAATAAATACACACATGGCAGGATTCCTTATGATTTCCCGTATTTTCCGGGTTTTTGTCTTCCCCCCCATCTCTTCCCGTAGTTTCCTATATTCTCGGGGGAATCGACGATTCATTGTCAAGGTGTTTTCGTTCCCCCCTGAGTCTCCCCGGGGCTCTCACCGCGTTGGCCCCCGTGCCAGGCCGCGGGCGCCTCTCGGGCGCCCCCGTGCGCGCGGGGGGTGTCCCCAGGATTGCAAAAAAAACAAGGATTGCAAAAAAAAACAGAGGATTGCAATCCTTCGTTTTTTGCAATCCTTCGGTTTTTTTGCAATCCTTCGGTTTTTTTGCAATCCTTCGTTTTTTTTTTTTTGCCATCCTTCGTTGCAATCCTTCGAACCTGCTGCGCTGGCGCCCGTGGGCGCCCCGTGCGCGGGGCGGGCCTCCCGCGGGCTCGCCCTCGTGGGCGCTCGTGCCCGCTCTCGGGCGCCTCGCGGGCGCCCCGCGAGCCGGGTGGGCGTTCCCGCTGCTTGGCCCCTCTCGCTGGCGCCCGCTCCTTGGCGCCTCGCGGGCGCCCCGCGCGCGGGGTACTCCAGATGTCGTAATAAAAGGGAGGGGGTCTGGACCCTCCAAGACAAGCCATTTCAGACCCCCCCCCCGTGGGAGAACCCTCCAAAACGTCGTCCCCAGACCCCCCCAGGCCCTCCAAGATAGATTGGAAGAGACCCCCCCCGAATCCAGACCCCCTCCCTTTTATTACGAAATCTGGAGTACACAACGCACATTGCACCG